CCCATGTATTTTTCCCCTTAGGATGCTGTGTTCTATGAACTATCTCCACAATTCTCTGCAAGTCAACCTCTTTTGTCTCCCACTATAACCTTACTGATCATTACAATAATTTTGACCCCCAGTTTCTTACGGTTAAGTACCACTTTTTAGCCTCTACTGCTTCAGGGCCCCTTTATCTCCATTGCTAATAAGGAGTCATGCTCCATGAGTGTCTCTCTTACTATCTGCCCTGTCCTGCAGAGGAAAGCTATCTCTGAACTTCTTAGTGATGCTGATACCACTTTCACCACTGCTTTTCTAATGGCCTTGGTGAATGATGTGTGTTCTCAATCATCCCGTGGAACATAATCCTTTAGTGGGTCTTCTGGCCACACATAATGTATCCATTCCAGGATGCCCACCTCCCTGAGCCTTTTACTCTACTCATCCACCATCTGCCATGGCAATTCAGGCATTCCAACTTTGCTCAGCTTGGGCCATCATTTTTCTTCATTCTCCTAGGAGCTTTTCTAGTCATGAGTTTGCACAACCCCTGGGAATCCTCGCCAGAGTGTTAAATCCTGTATCCCAAGAACATGTTTCCAAGTCAATAAACTTTCCCTCATCCAGCATTATGCCCCATCCCCTTTGATTAAGCACCCTCAAAATCCAGTCCCATGGGTACTTCTCCTTACTCCTACCTGTACATACTGGCTGATTCTCCCACTCCTTTAAGCAGAGTGTCTTTTCTCCTTGATTATGCCTAGTATATTGCCAGCTGAACTACTCTGAAGTTTAGCCTTAGTTGTTGGCCTGGAAGCCAGGAAAAGAGGTAAGGGCGGCTCATGAAGGAATCCCTGTTGATCTATGAGGAAGTGGCCTTGGCTGTTCTTACCCTCAGCAGGGAGTGCTGGCATTTAATATGGAGGGGGGTTCTCCTCTCAGGGCTCTGAGGGTTGTGAGGAGAGTAGGGAGCCAAATTCTTTGGGAGTTTCTATCCAGTTTTCCCCACCCATGTGCCAGGGTCGCAGGTTTTCCCAACTGGGCTCCTATTGTGGCATGACAGATTGTCTTGGCGAACATTCAATTTTGTTTTAGGCTTTTAAGTCCTGTTTTGGTCTTTAGCCTTTTCTGCTTTCCCATGCAGGAAAAAAGTCTTCTTTCTAAGCTGCCAAGAATGCCCTCTGGCCTTCACGCCTGGTTTTCAATTGTTTACCTGTCCTCAGGCTGTGTTGGGGCCAAAGCAACTTAGCAGCCAGGTGCTGGGATCACTGCTTTCAGATGCCTTACCCTTCCTTCTCAAAAGCCTGAATCATTGCATCCATTAAGGGATTCCCTCCACCAGCACATTCTCCCAAGTAACCTTCAGTACAGTTTTAGCAATTGAGCACCCACCCTGTGCCAGGGCCTAAGTGTCTTCCAGAGATGACCATGGATGGGGTCCTGATTGCCAGCTAGGTACTGAGTGATCCTATCCCCAAACCCCATCTTACCGCTTGCTTTCTCAGATCCTTCCTGGTATCACTGTGTCAGTTTGGATCCTCCAGGAAGCAAGTGGTGAGATGGAGTGGAGAGAGTAAGAGGTTTATTAGAGGGTAACACCTGTGAAAGCAAAAGGGGGAGGGAGCCGAGTTGGATAAGGAGAATATCAGAGTGTGACGGAGATTCAACAAAGTCTCAGCCAACTCAATGGAAAGTTACCGAGCCCAGTGGAAGGGTCTCCCCCACCATGGGGCAGAATTGACAAGGTTCTGCCAATTGGTATGACCATACCTCCGCCATGGTCATAGATTGGGAGCTGCCTGGGAGGAGTGTGGATTTGACTCCAACACTGTGGCAGGTCCCGAAGGGGCTGCAGCTAACTACACCCCTCACAGCTAAACAGTTCTTTCTCAGAGGGAGACTCACAAAGTGCATCTCCATGACGGCCATAGAACCTTCTGGAAGTTAGGTCAGAGAGAGAAACTGCTTCATGCCAAGGGTTGCCATCTGCAGAGTTTGGGGAAGCTTAGCTGACTCTGCTACCAGGACGGGGGAGGCACAGGAGGTTTTTGGGTCCAAGCTGCTAGTTTTATTTTGAAAACTTTTTTCTTGACAGTTATCTATAAGCCTTTGTATTCACAACCACTTGAATCTGATGTGAGGTTTAGACACAATGTGGGGGAACTAAGATATTTGGGGAGTGGAGGGCAAGTAGGGGGTCACGGAAAAGAGGCAGAATTTCAATAACCTTCTCTCATAAGTTTTATCTCTTAGTCCCTAAGGAAACATAGAAAAACTATCCAAAGTTGAGCAATGACTTTCCTTCCTCTGCTGCCTGCTCAGCATCTTGAAACTATCAGAGGGGGATGATAATGTTTAAAAATCATTATCTTGAGCAAGCCCTGATGGTCTAGCAGCTGAAGTTTTGCGTGCTCCACTTCAGGGGCCCCGGTTTGGTTTCCGGGTGGGGAACCACACCACTCGTCTGTCAGTAGCCATGCTGTGGTGGCAGCTCACATAGAAGAATCTGAAGAACTTACAGCTATACACAACTAGGTGCTGGGGCTTTGGGGGGTGAAGGGGGAAGAAGGAAAAAGGAGGAAGATTGGCAACAGATGTTAGCTTAGGGCAAATCTTCCCCTGCACTAAATAAATAAATAAATAAATAAATAAATAAATAAATAAATAAATAAATATCTCTTGATTTAAAAACAATAATAATTCAACATTTAATATAAAAACAATCATTCTCTTCTCAGGAGATTCCTGATAAAGCATTAAGTGTTTATTTTAAAAAATATTTTTCCTCTCTAGTAGTACAAAAGCCAGTCAGTCCTATAAGAATAAAGGGATTTCTGAGATTTTTTTCACTTGAAAGGTAGAATTTGTTATATTTTTCATGAAGCACTTTAGCCTGGGTTACAACCATGAGACAGAATGTGTCCTCTGTTCAGAAGCTGGAAGCCTGGATCTGCACCTTCTTTTTGCTGCTTTGCGTTTCCCAAAGTCCCTCTCTGCCTCTCAAGCCCTTATCAGTGGTTGGTCACTGCCTCTGGGTAGTAGCCATGTCAAGCAACGGTGGCATGGGGCCATGGGCTCAGGACTCTGGCCTTCTGCATCCTGTGCTCTGGCTCCAGCTGAGAAAGGGAATGTGGAGTGGCTCATGTGAAGGGTGTATATGATCTACGGGACTGAGATTGAGACCGTTGCTCAGTGAAGGCAACCCTGACAGCCCCTTTGTTCAGCCAGCACGACTTTGCTGGGAAGACCATGGGGTGGGACATCATTAACACTGGGACGCATTTATGTTTTGTCTGCATCTCCAGATTCTAGTTTTAACCTTGTGGGCACCAGTCTCCAGTTTCCCTCTCAGTGTCTTTAGGAGAGAGGAACTCTATCACCTGCCTGGGAGCAGCAGAAACCAGGGAAGATTCCAAAGATCCACCACATGCTTCGCCCACCTTGGCCACAGCACACCCCCAGCTTGGCGCTGTGGCCGTGGGATAGACCCTGAGTTAACAATTAGCAGCCTAGATGTCCTGCTGATATTGCTGATTATTACTGTCTAAAACTCTACTGTTAAGGTGGTGAATATTTGCCACACACAGCTACATAAACTTAAATTAGAATTAATTAAAATAAAAAGATTAGCTACTTGATTGTACTAGGTCCATTTCAAGTGCTCAGTAGCCACATGTGGCTAATGGCTACCCTATTGAACAGCACAAATACAGATGGTTTCATCATCACACAAAGTGCTATTGGGCAGTAATGGTCTGAAAGATTACACTTGGTCACTTACAGTATTACAGCTAGAACACAAACTTCACTGGCTGTTGGTCCAGAGGGCTGGGTGGCCCCAGATGCTTCCTCACTGGTGCAGCTACTGTGGTTCTCAGAGCTGCTCAGGAAGGGTTTCTGGATGGGAGCAATGAGGCTGGGATGATAGATCTAGACCAGGAGCCCTCTGCCTCCACCCCTCCCCCTGCCATTATGCCTGCAGGTTCCCTCCTGGCCCACCTTTATTTTCCAAAACCATATCTTTGGCATCTCATGTGGATCACAGAACCTAGCCCTTAGCTGTCTTGTGACCAATACCTTTTCTGAATTCCTGGTTGCCTGTTAGTCTTTCGATCTCAGCTACGTGACTGGTTTATTGAGGAGAGGAATCATTTTGTGTTCCCTACGGAGTCTGCCTTAGTGATGGATGTGACAGTATCAGCTTCATGAGTAACCGTGAAAAGTCTCGCAATCAAGATTCATTGGAACCCAGCGTCTGAAATCTTGTAAGTTATTATATCACAAAACTGCCATTAGATGGCAAACAAACCTCATAGTAAGCAAAAGGCACAGGCCCGATCTTGGAAATACTGAGACAGTAATAGAGTGATACTGTCCCATTATCAACAGGGAGTCTTAAGGCTTGAGTGGGTTCTCTGGGTGTGACAGGGAACGCCTGGGAGGAGCTTCCAGTGTGCTGAGTGGTGGGGAAAATCCCACTCTGTATTCTGCTGTGTGGCTGGAGGCCCAGCCCTGCTTGTCTGCTATGGACTCAATTGTGTCCCCCAATTCACGTGTTGAAGCCCTAACTCCCAATGCAGCTGTTTTGGAGATAGGGCCTATACGGAGGTAATTAAGGTTAAGTAGGTCATAACGGTGGGGCCCTGAGCTGATAGGATTAGTGTCCTTATAGTAAGAGACACTGTAGAGCTCACTCTACAGTGAGCTTTTTAAAGAGAAATATAAAATGTGCCTGCGGAATTGCTGTAGAACTAGAAATGTGGTAGAGGAAGCAGAAAGAAATATTTAATATATCCCTTTTCCCACTTAGGCAGCATAGATTTTATCTCCATTAGTTTCACTCCAAACATAGGACATATTTTATGTCACTTTGCTCACAGGAGAGGCCCCCACCCTCCCTCTGGCTCTCTCCACACTGCTGCACCCACCAGGGGATTTGCATATTCTTCCCTAGGGAGGACCTTCCCTTGAGAGTCTGAGATAAAAAGTCAGCTCTCATCTTGCTTTGACTTATCAGGACTCAACATTTCAACTTCTCAAAATGAGGTTCCCTGCTCAGCTCCTGGGGCTGATAATGCTCTGGATCCCAAGTAAGGGGAGAGGGGAGATGAGAAAGGAGCATGGGGTGTGAAGGGTGGTCTGGGGGCACAACTGCTTCCCATGTAAATTATTTCCACATGTTAGATGGATATGTCCTGCCCTTCAGGAGGGGGCATGAGATATGTAGACCTGTGAGAGTGAGAAAATTCCAGAAGGAAAAATGCGAAGACTAAAAGAAAATGGGGGATGGTATAGGCAACTTCTAAAGACCCTTAGTGCCTTGCAATCTTGAGGTTTTCTTTGAAACTGGATAGTTTTGGGGCATGAATCAAAATTACACAAAACACGATTTAGCCTGATATAAGCAGGAAAAAGAAAATTATGAAAATTGCTTGCAATGTTTGTACCTGACCTTGTACTCTTCTCTCATTATTTTAGGATCCAGTGGAGACATTGTGATGACCCAGAGTCCACTCTCCCTGCCCGTCACCCCTAGAGTGCCAGCCTCCATCTCCTGCAGGTCTAGTCAGAGCCTCCTACGTCGTGATGGATACACCTATTTGGACTGGTACCTGCAGAAGCCAGGCCAGCCTCCACAACTGCTGATCTATGAGGTTTCCAAACGGGTCTCTGGGGTCTCAGACAGGTTCAGTGGCAGTGGGTCGGAGAAGGATTTCACCCTTAATATCAGCAGGGTAGAGGCTGAGGATGTTGGAGTTTATTACTGCATGCAAGGTACACAAGTTCCTCCCACAGTGGTGCAGCCCTGAACATAAACCTCTGCATGATGTGGCCCAGCTGCCCACACGTGTTGTTTATCTGAGGATCAAGCACAGCAGATTCTTTGAGTCTGTATAAGAGGAGATGTTGGAGAATTCAGGGGAATTAGTCACTGTAGAAGGATCTGTCCCATTAGTGCCTTGGCTACACCTCAGGTGCCACTCATTTATGGCCCTGTCAGCCACAACAGCCATGTGACCTGCTCCACGGGCCAGACCAGGACTCCTAGATGTGGAATGTGTTGTCTTCACAAGTCAAAGGGGGCTGTCAGGTGATTCCTTCCCTTAAAGGAAAAAATACACATTAAACACACTGGAAGGGAATGTATACCACCACCCATCCTACTTATGGGGCACAAGTGAGAGCTCTCTTGTTATTGAGGGAAAGTATTTCATTTGAATTGATGTCAGATGTAGAGGGGAGTGCCCAGAAACCCAAGCTGCCTTGCACTTCCGTCTTGGGGAATTTAGCAGCCAGACCATAGCCACAATGTTACCAGACAACCCAGAAAGAGCTCTCATGTCACCTTTAGATAATTTTGTTTGTCTTGCCACAATCTCTATACTGGTGCTTAGTTAGGACATTCTAAAATTTGAAAGTGTTATTTCTGTACCTACTTCAGTCTAGTGCTTTTGTCAATAGCACACTGGGGGGCATGTAAGTCAAATTCTCCATAGACATATTTATCCTGTTTCGTGTTTTCATCCAAAGTTTTCTATATTTGCCTGTCTCATTGAAGATTTTAATGCTATGAAGATGGTTAATCAAACCTTGTCTCCCTCTCTTTGCTTCAATACAGAGATAAAGATATAAATACATAATAGATGGATAGATAGATAGGTAGATATAAATATCTTTCTTTCTCTGAAAACTGGAAACTTTAACCTTGGGACAAATTTCATGACATGTTTTTCATCATGTCTATTTTTTTCTCTACGAGTTCTGGAGTTAGTTGAACTATTATTATGACCACTATTAAGCATATAGTTTAATTACAAGGCAAATTACTTTTAATGAACCTTGAAACACAAAGCTAGATAAAAAATGTTGTTCTTGTTTAGAGGCATACTCAACAATATAGTTAACAAGAAAATAATTGCTTTAATTTTTCATTTAATCAATAAATTTCTTCTCTCTATTTTGCTTTAGATAATTTTATTGCAATCAGATTTCCTTGGATAGTAGCTTAATGTAAATTCTCGTAATTGGTTTCAAATTTCACTGAGGGCTAGTAGAATTCCACAATATGAGAGAGCCAAACTGTCTCTGTGTTTGGAGCTTGCTCATTTTCAAGTCAAGAATATTAAAGATGAGTAAGTTCTGCCCTAATAAGTTACTAACAAGTTTTCATTGCCTCTAGTCCTTTCCTAAACTTTATAATTTCATCTCATGACTGTGCCAGGGAGCTCAAAATTGTTTATTATTTTCTTTTTTATTTTCCTTTATTACTGATCCTTCATCCTCTACTTGGCCTAAGATGTGTTTTTGAAAGGCCAACATGTAAGTATCTAGAAGTACTGGAAAGTGAGGGCAATTTCCACTCATAGAGCACATAAACTTTGGGTTATCCTTGGCTCCTGGCCAAGAAAGACAAAGGTGAAGTTTACCACTGTGAGGCTGCTTCTGTCTCATAGCAGAGACCCATCATTTCCACTTGTTGATGCAGAGACTGTACTGTCATCTTCAGTCAGAACAACCTCCACTGTGTACAGGTGGAGAGCAGACGTCTGTATATCTTTAATCTCATCCAAGGTGCGGGTTTCAGATTTTTGGTCTGACAAAGTCTACAGAACAAAGTTTACAGAATGTGTAACAGTATCACACTCTCCACTCCATATACTCTGACCTCAGGAAAACAGAAGCAGACAGTCCCATCTCCAAGACAGTCTTCCCAGGTCGTACACATCACAGAGTGCCTTCTAGTTTTATGGAACTCAAGCTAGAGCACCTGACAACAGAGACAAAACTACAATAAAACCCACCTGCCTAAGTCCTTCCTCATTCGGTTGACTTTGCTCAGTTACAGAGACACACAGAGGCCTGGTCCCCACCTGGAACTAATGGAGGTTATCCTTTCAACCCTCGCAAACCCTTATTATTCCTGTGTGGTGTGAAGTGACTAGTTTTGGCTGCAGGTCATTTTTGTTGTCCCAGCCACAGCATGGTTTGTTAACATACAGGAGACAGAGATACCTTTTTAGAATTAAGAATATTGTACTTTCTGTCTATAAGGAATGTAAGAAAATTTCAAAGACTATTTTTTTTACCAAGAAATAAGTTTTAAGATATTTTGCATTTTTTGCATGTTTCAGGGCAACAGATTATGAAATGAAACGACCAATCAAAACTGGAAAATTTTAAAGACTTTATGTTAATTTCACAGAAAATAGCATTACTCTCTGAAATTCTAGCATCATAAAGAATACTTTGTAAAAGTAGCATTTTCAAAAATTGATTTGTAATAAAAGAAAATAGGACAGGTTTCTCACTGTTACTCATTTTCCCACAATCTACATTTCCATGTTGGACAGGGGTGTACTCATTTCCTAGGGCTGCCATAACTAATTACCACAGAATTGGTGGCCTAAAATAACAGAAATGTATTCCTTCACAGCTCTGAAGGCTTGGAGTCTGAAACTAAAGCATTGACCAGGCCATGCTCTCTCTGATACCTGTAGGGGAGGATCCTTCCTTGCCTCTTCCAGCTTCTGGTGGCCCCAGGCCTTCCTTGGCTTCCTTGGCTTGTGGCAGCATCGCTCCGATCTCTGCTTTAATCTCCACATGATTGTTTTCTCCCTGTGTGTCTCTGTCTTCATGTTTTTTCTCTTCTTATAAGGCCACCTCATCTTAGCCTATTTTATCTGTAATAACTTTTTCCAAGTAATGTCACATTCTCAGGTACTAGGGACTTAGATTTCAACATAATTTTGAGGGGAACACAATTCAATTCAATTCATAAGAGTGGATAAAATTGATAAATTTATGCCTTATTTCCCCAGTTTTATTGAGATATTGTTGAAATATATGTAAATTTAAGGTGCACAACGTGATGATTAGATACATGTAAATGTTGCAAAATATTAACACAGTATGTTAATTAACACCTTCATCTCCTCACATAATGACCATTTTCTTTGTGTGTGGTGATAACATTTAAGATCTGTTCTCAACAATTTACAAGCACATAATACAGTATTGTTAATTACAGTCACCATGCTGTTCATTAGATCCCCAGATCTTATTTTTCTTATTGCTAGAACTTTATACCCTTTGATCAACATCTCCCCATTTTCCCCAATCCCCAGTCCCCGGCAACCACCATTCTACTCTCTATTTCTATGCATTCAGCTTTTTTAGATTCTACATATAAGTGAGAATGCACAGTATTTGTCTTTCTCTGTGACTTATTTCACTTAGCATAATGCCCTCAATGTCCATCCATGTTGTCTCAAAAGGTAGGATTTCATTCTTTTTTGTGGCTGAATAATAATCTTGTGTGTGAGTGTGTGTGTATCTGTTTCACACCTTCTTTATTCTTTCATCCATTGATAGACACTTAGGTTGTTTCCACTTCGTGGCTATTGTGAATAATGCTGCAATGAACGTGCCAGGGGCCAAGTCTATTCGAGATGATGTTTTCATTTCCATTGAATGTATACCCAAAATTTGGATTGCTAGATCTCATGATAGTTCTATTTTTAATGCCTTTTTAGAACACTCCTTCAAAATGCTTTAAGATTTATAATAAGTCCTCTTTTTATTTGTGTTCCATTTTTTTTCTTTTTTCTTTCAGTTGCTTATCTTTCTACTCTTTTCAGTAGAATGGTTAATTATGAGGGCTGGAATTCCAAGACAACAGCATCCTACCTAGTTATGAAAACACCTGTCTGCATCTGTACCTTCAGAAGCCAGGTGTAAGACCGAGAATTGCATTGCTTAGCATCATGATAATTGATCAGGTCAAAGAAATTAAAAGTCTTTTTAATATAATAAGATAAAGGTGTAGATCTTATACTGAGTAGAAGATATGGGACATGTATAATTCTGCAGCTGCCTCTTCATCACAGCTCACCCTCAGCAAACCAGTTACTGCCATGGAGATCAGAGGATAAAGTTTAACATCATTGTTGCTTAATTTTCTTTTCCAATCAAGTTTTAAGAATCTTATTCCTGAGATTTCCCAAAGGATATTCAGACCAAGCTTTTTTGTAATCTTAAATAGAATTATATTTGTTATTTTTTTCTTGGTCAATTAAATAAGACTTTGGGTTTAAATTAGCTGAGATTTAATAGGACTGCAAACTCTAGTTTTCAGGACAAAAGCAATTTGACATTTGTCCAATTTTTGAGGAGCTGACCTGCATCAGGCTAGCTCATGAAAAACAATTGGATTGTTCCCCTATTTTAATGCAGGGTGGTGTAGTAGACTCACACCCCTGAGCAACTCTGACCCAGCACCCTATTCCCTAGTGACTATCTCTAAATGAAAACCCAAGGAAATACCAGTCATAGGTACAGGTTACACAGAGACATTAAAAGAGTGGATCCAGCTCTTGTTCTTCTCACATAAAAAATCTTTTGAACTGTGGACTCATTGCTGTAGCTGCCCAAGGCACAAGCCAGGTGAGAGACTTAGGTTTTAACACAGAACTAACAGAAAGCTGGAAAAACCCTGATAGCATCTGGGTCTATATGAAGGAAAATAATCTGTATGGGAAAAGTTTTTTCTAAGCACCACTCAGAAAAAAATAAAATTATTCCTTGTTCATTATATCCCATCACCCCTAGGGAATCATTTCCCTAGAGACCCTTTGATTAATGTGGTGTACAGTGAGGTGAGCATGATACACACCAGATGGTATTAACTGGCTTCCAGCAATTTCATCTTCACCGCCTGAGGGATAAAATTCTTTCTTTTTTTCCTCTTGTCTTAAACTGGGCTATTAGCTCCTTGTATATGAGAGACACGTTATTTTCTCCCTGTCAAATTCTTTTGACTTGAAGGCTCTAATATATTTAATTCACTAGGTCCCAGGGAAAGACCCTTCCTAACACTTGATTCTGACATTCTTAAACAGTTAACCTGGTAACTGTTACCAGGTTACAGCAGTTACCAGACAACCCTTGAACTAGCTCAACTCCACGCTGTTATTTGGAGAAAATTCTGACCGTCAGTACTAGTAAGGGTGGGAGCTGTTTCTTTCTCCAAATTTGGTGGGAGGAATCAGAGTAAGATGGCCTTTCATCTCACAGAGATTGACCTGCACACACGTGTCTACATTTCAGGGTCTCTGATGGTTTCCTAGAGTAGCAGGGACATATGCTCTGTGTCCTCAGAACAGCTCTAGTCTTTTGCAGACAGATCCTTCTTCCCACTACTCTAGGCGGCATAGACTTTATCTCTATTGGCTTTCCTCCACACAGGATATATTTTATGTCACTTTGCTTAAAAGAGAGGCTACCACATCCTCCCACTGGCTCTCTCCACACTGCTGCACCCACCAGGGGATTAGCATATTATTTCTCAATGAGGGCTTTCCCTTGCAAGTCTTAGATAAAAGTTCCACTCCAAATATATCTTTACTTAACAGGATACATCAGTTCAACTTCTCAAAACGAGATTCTCTGCTCAGCTCCTGGGGTTGCTAGTGCTCTGGATCCCAGGTGAGGGCAGAGGGGAAATGAGGAAGGAGCATGGGGTGGGGATGGTGAGCTCTGGGGGTACCCCTGCTTTTCATGTGTATTCTGCATGCTTGTTAGATGCATATGACTTTTTCTCCAGGATGGAACATGTGCTATTTAGATCTGTGAGAGTGAGGAAGATTCCAGAAGGAAAAAGGATCAGTGCTCTAGTGAAGACTGTGACACAAAAAGAAGGGGATGGTGTAAACACCTTAGAGGCCCCTTTGTGTCATGCAAGTATCTTTTGTTTTTTGAAATTGAATATTTTTGGTGTATGAATTAAAATATCAGACACAAACGCATAGATTTAGTATGAAATAAACAACAGAAGAGAAATCATGAAAAACTCAAAATGTGTGTATGTAACTTGCTCTTCTCTAACATTATTTTAGGATCCAGTGGGGATATTGTGATGACTGAGACCCCACTCTCCTTGCCCATCATCCGTGGAGAACCTGCTTCCATCTCCTGCTGGTCAAGTCAGAGCCTCCTACATAAAAATGAATATAACTATTTTCATGTGTCCCTATGGAAACCTGGCCAGTCTCCATGGGAACTGAAACGTAAGATTGCCCACCTTATCCCCAGGGTCTCAGACTGGTTCAGTGGTAGCAGCTCAGGGACAAATTTCACACTTAAAATTAGCAGAATGGAGGCGGAGGATGTTGGAGTCTATTACTGCGTGCAAACTCTACAACATTCTCCCACAGCCCTGAACACAAAAGTCCCTTCTTAGCACGGCCCATCTGTCCAAATGTGTTTCTTCTCTTGGATCAGTCCTGGCTGATTCTCTGAGTCTATGTAAGAGCAAGATTTTGGAGAACTCCGGGGGAGAGGTTGCAGCTGGACCATGAGTGCCTCAGCTACACCTTCAGGAACACACAGGAAGACCCTGTGTGCTGCAGCAACCTGGGCATGGCAGAACCAGCAAGAAAATGGAGGGGCTTCAAGTGCCCTCTGAGTACCCAGACATAACAAAGGGAGAGCTGACTTGAAAGCTCATCCTATTCCTCACTGCCTTGCGTACATGTATCAATTCAAGTCACTCGGCCTAAAAGCCATGGAGTTGAGGATGTTTTATGACAATATAAAACCAGTACATTTTTTGGTATTTTTTTTCTTTTAGCAGTTACTAGTAAACATTCAGCAGGAATGTATTTAGTGATATTAAGTCACTATTTTTCTCCCTTCCACCACTTTTGACTTCCAATTTTTCTTAGCATACATCCTTCTTCAGGATGAGGGTAGGCACAGGATTTTATACTACTGTCCTCAGGGAATTAGCCAAGGAAAACTAGTCACAGTCTTGTATTGACCTAAAACCAATAAACAGCCAACTATTTTACCAGTAGAAGGGGTTTATTTGGGAATGACAAAGAATTGTGGAAAACCACACAAGTCCAGAGAAACATTCTTGTTCGAAGTCCGGAGGGGCGTTGTAAATGAAGAGTCCATTGGAGGAGAATGGGAGTTTGAAGTGTAGTGGCTTTTCATTGGCTGAGTTATGGTCGTTTCTCACTGGCTGAACTAGGAGGAATTTCTTCCTTCCTTCTGCTGGTGTCGTAAGTAGTATCACATCCCATGTGAGATGCAGGACATGGCTCTTCATTTTGGGGTCTCTTGTGTGCCGTTGAGTGGCACATGAGTGAGAGTACTCTCTTCTGGCATGTCAACTCTTTATTTATTTATTTATTTATTTATTTATTTATTTATTTATTTATTTATTTTTGTGAGGAAGATCAGCCCTGGGCTAACATCCAATGCCAATCCTCCTCTTTTTTGCTGAAGAAGACTGGCCCTGGGCTAACATCCATACCCATCTTCCTCTACTTTACATGGGACACTGCCACAGCATGGCTTGATAAACGATGCATGGGTGCACACCTGGGATCTGAACCTGTGAACCCTCGGGCCACGGAAGCAGAGTGTGCGGAGTTAACCCCTGCACCACCCGGCCAGCCCCTAGACTCTATTTTAAATGAGGTTTCCATTTATTAATTTTCACACTTGGCTTTATTTTAGCTACTAGATAGATTTTGGTAAATCTATTCAAAAACAAAGGCCTAGTGCCAAAGTCTTTGACTGATCTCAGTCAAAATGGTGTGTTCTGAATTCCAAAGATGAATTTTAAATATAAATACCCAAGTCTGGAAGAATTAGAGAGCATAAATATGTGCCACATTCAACAGAATTTTGATGAATATAAGATAATATAATCAATTTTTGCCATATGATAAACAAGACTTTTAAGACTTTGGGCAGAAAGCAGAGAATCTAAAGGGCAAATAGTAGAGGTTAGCTGTTGATACAACACCTAGCTCTGTGTCTCATGCTTTTGAGATGGGGATTCTGGTGTGGTAGCGATTGAGATTTGAACTCAGATGATAAACCAGATATATTTCTTGGGAAGAATCACAGTGTTGAAGGGACCACTGCATGGCTTTCAAGGTTGCGCCTTGCTGCCACTGCAAGATTCATGGAGAATTGGTACGTCTAGCAGGATTCTAGGTCTGTAGTGACTCAAGGGTCAGTGAAGTTTCTGTCCAGATGTATCTTAGGTCCTAGCACATATTTCTAATAAACACAGCAAGATATCGATGAGCTTCTAAAAGCTGTTCTGCCTCCAAGATACATCTGGGGATGATTTGAGAGAGAATGGTCATTCAATATTGACCATTTAGTTAGGATAAAGATGAGGTTGGTTGAAAGGCAGAGCATGGGCTGTGAAGATCAGCAAGAGATGCAGTGGTGGGAGCCCAAGTCCCACATCTCAGACATAAAGGTTGATAAGTGCAGCATTAGAAGGGGGAAGCCCCGTAAGAATGTGGAAGATTTCACTCTGCCTTTCCGGCCTGATCACTGAGCCATCTTTCCCAGCCCAGACCTCAGCAAATGTCCAAAGGAGAAGTCCAGCCTGGTGTTCAGGGCTCAACTCCTGTCCCTTCTGTTAAGGCAGCTTCACGCAACTGTCAAAGTTCAGCTGGATTCTTTTCCCCACGGGAGTCCTCCTGCCTGGGCCAAGCCAAAACCGATGCTCTCACACAATTTTGGCAAATTTCAAGAGGGAAAAAATGACAGAAGATCATCAACCTACTTACAAAGGTTTATTCCCTCTGGAATTTTAGGTCATTCGGTCTTTATTTCTTCTGCTGCACTCTGATATCATCATAAATAAACTGACTTATGAATTTACTTTTTCATTTTCTTCCACTTTTGTTTTAGCATTTGTGTTGTTCTTATAAGACCTACTACATCTTAACTGAGAGTTAGTTATAATGTAGAGATGCAGGTTTTGATATTTTATTGTATAACATTAAACTCTAGACCAATCTATAAATGCACATGACATGATCACACAAATGCTGAAACAGAAAGGAAGAGAAAACAACTGAAGAAACAACGGTGATCATGTCGTCATCAAAATTATGGTGGGTAATGAATATAATTTCCGTACTCCAGTAAGAAATGTATAGAAATATATGTTTTAAATATACTCTACTTAAAATAGTGCTCCAACAATATGTTTGATTTAATAAGAGGACACACCACTTATAGTATTATATTATAGAAAAAGTAAAAGAAGATTTGAATTAATAAAACAAATTAATCCTATGTTTTAGATGATTGCTTCTTTCAAGCTGGTATATCCAATGGTGTGTGCAATTAAAATTGCAAGGTATTATTTTTGTTGCGTTTAAAGGTTTTATGTAGAAGAATTGATGTAGAAGATGAGAAAACCCAACCCTTCAAATTATAAAAGAATGATCTTAATAAGCATTTTTAAAAGTATTAGGAGCACCAGAAAGAGAGGGACAGAAAATGCGGCAAGAGGAATATGCAAATAAATATTGTTTGAAAAACAAAAAAAGGTAGACACAGCAGTACTGTGTAAAAAAAGGCTAAAGATGGTTCTGTTGACAGAAGGAATGTGATCCTAGATAGAAACATGTATAAATATGAGAGAACAACACTGGAAAGAGTAAATATATGGATAAATATCAATTAATATTGGCAGCACAGAAGAACAAGTGTAATAGCTTGTAGAATTTGAAATACATATGTATAATGGGAGTTCATGAAGAAAACAACACAAAAAAAGACAGAAAATATGGCATTAAATGATTCAGTAGTTTCTGGAAAGTGGTAAAATTTGTATTTTGTATTGGGCAGTAATAAGTCAAGGATAGCTGTTATATAATAAATGAGTTCATAGTCAACAAATTAATATAAGAAAAATTGTACATTATACAAAATGCTGAGTCTCATACAAAACAATATCATAAATTGGTGAAAATTTTGATCAACTGATACACTCATACATTGCATGTGGGAGTGCAAATTGGAACAAACACTTTGGTAACTATGTGACAGTTTCAAATAAAGATAAACACAAGTTTCATATGACAAACAATTAATTCCAAGGTATAAAATAAAGAGATGGGAGTGTATGTGTCCACCAAATGATGTGTAGATGAATGTCAATAGCAGTTTTATTTTTATAGGCAGAAGATGGGCTATGATCTAAATGACCTAAATTGTGGACTATTCATAGTGCAAACATACAGTAAGAAGCAGGAGTACTTACTAATATACACAAAAAAAATGGATGCATCTCAAAGACATAATAATATGAAATAAAAGCTGGAAACAGAAGAATGCTACTTCCATGTATATGAAGTTCAAGTCCAGGAAAAACAAAGCAATGTGATAGATTTCAGAATAACAGTTACCTTGGTGGAAATTGGGGACCGTTTTTGACTGGGAAGATGCATGATGAAGCCCTCTGAAAAATCTGAAATATTCTATATTTTGAACTGAATAGTGAGTATATATAAAACTATTCCTTGCACATTTAAGATTTCTGCTCTTTACTCTGTTTGTTTCATCTCAATTGAAACAGAAAATGACCAAGCCTACACCCTTGTAAAGATAGATGAACAAGAAATAAGAATCACTTAATATTTATGGAAATGCATTCTTATTTTAAAAAGCATAAAATATGCCTGGGAAAACAGGAAACTAGAAAACTGGTAGAGAAAACAGAAGGGAACATTTAAAAATTTAGAATATTATCTCGAAACAATTAAATGTAGCTGTATAAATACAACAGAATATTAAAAAATATGCAAACTTTTGAAATTTCAGTGAAAATAATTGGAGAATACCTCAACAGATGACCTAAATGGGAAAATATATGTGGATGAAGATATTTTTAGTGAGCTGGAACATAAAGTCAGTGGACTGTATCAGAATGAAGTACAATAGAAAATGAAAGAAAAATGTAAAGTAAGAACCAAAAATCAGAGATTTAGTGGTAAGTTCTGAAGATCTACACCTGTGAGCCTGATCCATGGAAAGGACAGAGAGAACGCTGGGGAGGAAACGATCGAAAGACCTAAGAGAAGAAAATTTCAAAGAATTCAAGAAAGAATGTTTTTCTGAGTTTCCAGAAAAAAAATATAAACTGTTTCAAATATTCAAACTACTTAAATATTCTTATCCTAGCCAATAGAAAAGAATATCGGGCAAAAACAGCTTATGTGTAGGAAATTAGAGATTAGGTATACTTAATAGTGATGAAAATGCTACTTCAACCTGATAATCTAGAAATGGCACATGAGAGTATCTGCCTTCCCGGGCTCTTCCAATACATGTACCCTGAGACAGTGACAACTCTTGTCCTCACAGCATCACGTGTTATCAAGATCCTGTGTCAGGACATGTGAGGAGCAGGGA